TCTCTCTTAACAGCATTTCTACATATTATTGACGTATTTACCAAAGAACTAAGTAGACTGATCTATTGATTAATAAAATAATATCTTATAATAACCTGAAACATAGCAGTCAAAAAGGGTGCTGCCTCGTCTAACTTAAAACTTAATTTCTATTACTGTACAGCGGATCTTTGTGCATTTATTACATGTGCAAATTTGTCGAATACAAGAAAACGTATAAATAAATAAGATCTAATTTTTCTTAGGAGTAGAAAATGGTCGTGATAGCAATCGCTATTAAAATTATTTCTCCCCTCTACTCTGTACGATCGAACAAGTTTAATTGGTCGTGTCGCGATTAGCATGTTAAACAAGAATGCGTGCTGAAAAATATGTCAGACTGTGCGAACGTCTAAATCGTATATATATATATATAAACCAGCCTCTCTGTGACTTTGAAGCAACTTCTACGGTAGAGTCGGTAACAAATCGCCTGGTACTTACATCACATCGCGAGGCAGCATCTTGAAGATAATGTAAAGCTTTCGATGGAACCTGCAGAGCACCGGAAGTAGCACCAAAGCAAGGAAGATCTGGGCGATCTTGTTGAACCCAGGAAAGCCGAATCTCGTCGCGACCGTGGCAACCATCGTCCCGATGATCCCCAGGGCTAACAGTAGCAGTCTGACGTCCATGTTCCAATTTTACTCACTCTACTCCACCGAATCTAGGCGGCCGTACTTCTGTACTGCGAAAGACGACACAAATTAAACCCTTATAGCCATCCGATCGCGATAACATTATAATGTGTCTACCTCCGACGAAAAATGTAATCGAGTTCTTTAACGCTAAAACCACCGAGCTATAAACGCTACCGTTGTAAATTCTTTTGTAACAACGACAAGGTTGTATTATGCGCACGAACTTTGTAGAATTTCTGTTATAATCTATCCTTGAACAAAATGGTTCTCATGTAAACATTCTGATAACCACGGGAGAACTATAACAAAAAAATTAGCGCTTACGCGACGATCGTGTGCACAACAATTAACATTTCTTGAACCACTGACTTTAAAGAAACGTCATAGATTTCCGTGCGTCGAATACCGATACCAATGCCGTTCTCTGTTTCTCATCGCAGTTTTGTTCGAATCAATTCGAAGAAAGTTTACGCTATGACGGTAACAGTTATGCAATTGTTTTTGCATGATAGTGTTCTGTGGATTCTTCTAAATTGGATCGTGGAGTTTAATGTTGCAGCGGGGACACGTGAGCACGTATAAACAACGTGCGGACCGAAAACGATAAAATGCGTCCGGTCTCGCAGACATTTTCAATTTAGTTGCAAAATAAAATGCAATAAAAATGCGATTAAACATGTGCATACAATGCAATTATGTAGCATATACAGATATAGCAAATATTCGACTCACAGGCGCTGTTAACAGACGTTAAAAATCACGATTTGTTTCTAATAGAGAATCAAAATATTTTGGTGAAATGAGTGATGTCAGTACTATGCGTTAATGATAGAAAATAATAATAAATGCAATTATGATAATAAATGCGTTAATGATAGAAAATAATAATAAATGCAATTATGATAATAAAATGCAATTATGTAGCATATACAGATATAGCAAATATTCGACTCACAGGCGCTGTTAATAGAAGTTAAAAATCACGATTTGTTTCTAATAGAGAACCAAAATATTTTGGTGAAATGAGTGATGTCAGTACTATGCGTTAATGATAGAAAATTGTGTCATATGTGTATTGAGACAGTAAAATAATAAATAGTAATATCCGATTCCTAAAAAAGGGTTTCAATTTCTCTAATATATTTTCAATATAGTAGACATTGTTTCTCAAAAAATGCTTATTTAATTGTTCTATAATTAAAGAAAGTGTTAGAAAATATTAAGATAAAAATTATAGAAAGTTATTAAGTAATATGACGAGGTGTTGGTAATACTCTTGACGTTCTTTTAACGTGAATTATAATTTGAAAACTTTCGTAACACCTGGAGGTAATTGAGTATTTCCTGGAGCCCATATGACTGTATCATTCATTCAGTACGTATATCATTTCATCGATTAAACATTTCTTGTCAGTGGCAGTTTTACAATTAGACAAGTTTCAAAATCCCCACGGTATCATGTAACAGAAAAGTATAACAATGTACCCGGTGTAGCCCTTATTTTAATGATTACAATTATAACATAATCATGCATATCTAGCTAAGATTTTTGTCAAGATCTGTAAGATCTATATCAACAACTCTTTTCAATGCCTTCGCGAATGTTTAAGAAAATTGCACACATTCTGTTGCTTCGTTATACGCAAATATTTTTCAACGTTAACTATAAAAGTACCTTGAACATCGTTGTGCGACAACAAATTGCAGTTAAACAATTCAGTATAAAATTTGTGCTTTCGTCAGCAAGCATGCTAGTGCATTTATTCTATTATAAACAATATTATATCAACAAGCATGCTGGTGCATTTATTCTATTATAAACAATATTATATCAACAAGCATGCTGGTGCATTTATTCTATTATAAACAATATTATACCAACAAGCATGCAAGTTATAGATAATTAAAGATTCCTCATTTCTCTGTGCTACTCTGTTCTTCGCTGAAATATTTTTTTCGCGAAATACACATTTTCAAGTAATCTATTATTAGCTCCAGAAACAATAACCGAGGGGAGGAAGAACGCAGAGGAAGTGGTGAGCGTCAGACTGTAAAAGCAGCTGCATGTGCCATTGCAACCCCCTTCTTATTTAGTATGGATCTCGTTGCACCGTGAACTCTATCAAACTTTCATAGTCCAACTATAGGCACTATTTTCTACAGTTCGTTTCGTCGATAAAACATGAAAACAATTATTATAGCTGTTACATTGCTCCGATTACCCATAACATTCCGTTCACGACATTCACGATCGAGAATTGTTTCCTCCGCGTGACTTATGTAGCAGCTAGGAATCTCTAATGAAGTGCTACCGGACTACTGCGCTATTGTAGTTCCTAGGTAAGAGACACGCAGTACACAACACAGTTCTGCGATCGAAATAATAAATAATATCACTACGTTCATGCCCTTAACTGATGTGGAATCTCGGACATTTGGTTTTAGTGCGCCGATAAACTATAGCAAACACACGAGATTTTTGCGAACGATATTATTAATTAAGTTTACAAGCTTGAATAGATAATGATAAACCGACTGCATTTATTATACATAACCCTTCCATAAAGTTGTTTTAACAAAAACAAAATATTCCTGAGGCTTTTTCTAACAAGATGAACAAGTTAAAGATTGTTACATTTACTAGAATACCCTCGCGATATATAAAAACCGTATAATTTTCAATTATATTATCCCCTTTTTAAATTCATATCATTTGGATATGCAATAGTTAAAAATTCTACGGTTTTTGTATGTTGAAAGATGTATTAATAAATGTTGAAAACTGCAGATTCAGATTTTGTTTATTTTATTATGAAAAAGAAATTATTTATTATTATTATTATTATTATTATTATTATTATTATTAATAGTTTATTTCCTTCTTTCGGATAAATCCCATTGTTTCTACTAATTATACAACCAACAAGATAAGCCGACATCGCCAGTTGACAACTCTATTTATTGTTAGTCACATTCTCGCTGTCCCCATTTTAAATTCATATCATTTGGATATGCAATAGTTAAAAATTCTACGGTTTTTGTATGTTGAAAGATGTATTAATAAATGTTGAAAACTGCAGATTCAGATTTTGTTTATTTTATTATGAAAAAGAAATTATTTATTATTATTATTATTATTATTATTATTATTATTATTAATAGTTTATTTCCTTCTTTCGGATAAATCCCATTGTTTCTACTAATTATACAACCAACAAGATAAGCCGACATCGCCAGTTGACAACTCTATTTATTGTTAGTCACATTCTCGCTGTCCCCATTTTAAATTCATATCATTTGGATATGCAATAGTTAAAAATTCTACGGTTTTTGTATGTTGAAAGATGTATTAATAAATGTTGAAAACTGCAGATTCAGATTTTGTTTATTTTGTTATGAAAAAGAAATTATTTATTATTATTATTATTATAGTTAGTAGTTTATTTCCTTCTTCCGGATAAATCCCATTGTTTCTACTAATTATACAACCAACAAGATAAGCCGACATCGCCAGTTGACAACTCTATTTATTGTTAGTCACATTCTCGCTGTCCCCATTTTAAATTCATATCATTTGGATATGCAATAGTTAAAAATTCTACGGTTTTTGTATGTTGAAAGATGTATTAATAAATGTTGAAAACTGCAGATTCAGATTTTGTTTATTTTGTTATGAAAAAGAAATTATTTATTATTATTATTATTATAGTTAGTAGTTTATTTCCTTCTTCCGGATAAATCCCATTGTTTCTACTAATTATACAACCAACAAGATAAGCCGACATCGCCAGTTGACAACTCTATTTATTGTTAGTCACATTCTCACTGTTTCAAAGTTGTTTCGGTGCACACATCCGATATTTCAGTTTCAACTCTTACAACTCAACTGAACGAATTACATTCACGTTCAAGTATTGAGTAACAATATCTGAAAAATTTCCGTTAAATGCGTCCGAGCGTTATTCATTGGCATGGCCATAAAGCACATAGTACTCGCTACTGTTAGCGAAGCCACACTGCATTGATCGAATTCATCATCGTTTTGAATAAGAACATCTGCGTCAAAGTACTACTGTGAGCAATATGCATAACATAGATAACGTTTATTTACAATTAAACCGCGGATTTTACTAACAATTTTGTAAAACGTTTCGGGAGTATTAGAAAAAAAAATTAATAGGCAAAACGAAGCTTTACCGTTTCTAATTTCTTGAAATTAGTGTTCAAGACTGGAATCTGTAAGTATTAAAATTGAAAATCGAATGATTCATCAAATAGAACGTGCGAATCGACAATGCGTGGTTGGCAAACTTGTTAGGATTTTGTGCAAAAAATGGACAAATCAAATAAAAAACATTTAAAGAAGTTACAAATATTGTTGCGTTTGTATTTCGCAATTTATGCAGACAATCTCTAATTTCTAGACTAATACGGTTTTGTTTATTCACGATATCCTGCATCGAGTACGCACACATACGAAAACTGATTGCAAAGTTCATTAACGTTAATGCTTTGCTGTTTATTTGTAACGTCAGTTGAAAATGTCCTAAAGTTATTATAATAATTATTATATTCCCACATTTTCGGCATGTCTCAAATTCTCTTATTGGGTCAAATAATGAATATAACAACAATTGAAATGCATTTATAATCAAGTAACGTTATTTAAAATACTTCTTTAGAAATTATTAATTGGAATAAATTTCGTCCAAGTCCGGGTTAAAGTTTTATTTGAAGAAACAACAGCTTAAATGCATCGTTTTAATATTTTACGAGCATACGAGGGGCGGTGTTGCAATGGCATAACCGCATCTGCACTCCTTGGCATTCATCCCCAATTCTCTATCACCGTTTTGAATCAGTAACATATACTACTCGTTATGTGTATTTTTGCAGCTATTTACCACGTCTCGAAGATGGAACAATTCATGCGTGACACGACGATCGTCGGTCTCTCTGAGGGATTAATTCGTACTATAATCTTTTACGAGGAAAAAAATGATCACCGGGCACGTGAATGGTGCACCTTGCGAGCCATTGCTCCCGTCCCAAAATTACGTAAGATAACGCGATTAATCTGTTTAATTCGCAGCCGCACGAGGTCCAACGATCAATACTTTGTATTTTACGGACACACGGGACACCGCGATCAGTCGTTTTCACCAATAACAGATTTCTAAAAATCGTTATAATAAATTCGTCATACCTCGGAATTGTTGGGATTTCTTGTGTTTCGGAATTTCGGTGCGCGTTACGCGAACTTCAAAGCACGTACAGCAAAGGAAAAACTTTCAATGCCAGTAGTAATAATTGATGTCCAGGAATTGAACTGAAAAGTATACGAATCGTTTTCAGAATTACGTCGAGTCAGACGTTGCCATCGGAAGCACGACATGGAAATTTATGTTAAAAATTTAAGAATAGATCATTTTCATTAAACATTCGGTATTTTTCGTAGGTAGAAGGGCTAATCGAACGATCACCACGAACAACATAACGTAAGCGCGTATAATAGCGTTAAAATACTACATTTCTCGAAGCATCGGCTTCACGGTGCTACAACACACATTACACAACACAAGCATCGCACCGATTTTACACCACAATAAAAGACAAACAATATTCGCCGACCAACGAAGAAGCTATTCTCTCACTGTACAAGGCATTGAAAAATTTGTCTATAGCTATCGCGAGATTGTGATTCAACGAGCATCTCAGGTGCATCAACCTAATCTTACACGAGGTACGAGAATAAATTTTCTCCTCCACTGCTGAAAGTTTACGTGTACGAAAAATCATTGCACTTCCACAAGTCGCACAACTTCAGATTTAAACACCGGTCGAAAACGTCACGATGAATTTTGATAACATACAGGCAACCATGCAGCTGAATAAACTCGTTCCGAAGTCCTTGCCGACTCACTTTTAATCGTATCCTCGGAAACAAAGTAAATTTCGAGCATCAACTTCTGACAACTACGCTGAACGAATGACTTGTATTCGGAAATAACGATGCTCAACGTTTTCGAATCAACCGAAATATACAACGAGAGATTTGCAAAGTCGCACTAGGTACCAATCAGCCAGCACCCGAATGCCACTGAAGTATCTTCAGTTATCTAGCGCATCCGCGTACCACAGTGCACCAACAATCTCTTTGTTCGCAGTTTGCACAGGATTACAGAGCAATCACTCTTTTTGTTTCGACGAGAAACGTGGCGCGTCGCGTAACAACGTTCTTTATTCGTGGGTCACGCGAAACATAGGAATATCCTTTTGTCCCCGTGAGCAACCACGGCTGCTCCCCGTGATCAATAATCCTGTAAGCCGTAGGTAAGTGAAGCTACGCGCGACGACCGCTATTTGGACACGATCTATTTATTGCGAACTCGGTGTGGTCACAACTCGGCGATCAAAACTCTGCCCGTTCGCGGAATTAACACGTGTTTTAGATATGTGTACCTTTTAGATATCTATACCTTGTAATTCAGGGACAGAGAACGAAGACGGCACGGATCGATCCTTTATACCCTGGGTGCTGCACAAGTCACCGTGAATCAATACCTCGCGTTTTCAGTGCGTAGTACTACGCCCGACGATGATACTGACAACACTAACAGCCGGCAAGGCTACTAACTGAACAGCAGGCAACGCGTTCCTCCGACTTGGCCGACACGGTATTGCGCCCACCACCAAGAATTATTCCTGTGCGGTGGTGTTCATGGCTGCAGAAAATCGAAGTTTTATTTTAACGGGACCCCTACCCAATGGCTTTCCTCCGGTTCCGCACGTTTCCGAGCAGTGCTCACTAGGCATGCCCGAACACTGCAGAATCCGACAAATTCACCTCGCCACACGAGTTCAAAATTTTCTTGCGTTTCCCGTTCAAAAGTTACTCTCAATGACCGGAAAACGATCCGGGAATTCGTTCGAAATTTCGTGGAGGATTGTACTTTAAAACAAAATTTCTATCGACATCCGACTATTCTTCTTACTAGTCAATTGTGTACACATACTTGCAAACGTGCACATTGCATACGTTTCTGTTTAACGATGAGACAAAAACCGACTAGAATTGTTCTTGAATTATGATAATACAGTAATTTTGGATTTCGAATTTTTGCATGATATTTTGGATGGTTATTGGAAAATAGTAAATATGAAAGACGAGAATTTGTTTCTTGTTTGAATTTTGTTTGCACGATTCTAAAATATTTGTTACAAATATGTATCAGGAGAAGAAACGAAAATAAATAGTATTTGTTGATGTTATGAATCGTAAGATTGATCACTGAATCCCGGAGATTAAACTTTGTTGCTTAGATACATTCGTGGCGTATGTATACAAAAATATTTTGTAATTCAGGATCATGTAATTCAGGTTTTATTAAGTTAATAATTTATAACAAAACATATGTAGATTGTATAATTTATTTCTTAACACTACAGTTCACAGTACATACTATTTTATTCATGTACATGATTATTTCATCAGGAAATGCATCTTTTTATTCAGTCTTTTTGCTATAAATGTTACCACAAAAACGTGGATACTATCAATTTCATCAATAAAGTTTGCATTACAATTCCTCTCCTACAGCTACAAAATACACAACATGCAACCATATGATTTACTACATATGACGCCCATTGGAGTCTAAGCAATTTGATTACTTTTTTGCTTCATAGCACCTATGAAAAATGTTCAAACAAAAAATTGAACCATTGTAATTGCGAGATACAAATTTGGTAATAACAAAAAAACATATTTCAATAGTTGACGGGAAAACTATTCT